ATAGTATTTTCTAGAATGAAGGCAGCATTTACAGTTCATTCAAAGTTCAAAGTTGCGTTGGGATTACGTTGGTTGATACAGTGTAAAGTAGAACATTCTGGAAGGGGTGAAACGGAAAGAGCATCGCCAGGCGATGGACGCGGGGCTCTTTGTCAACGACCGCAAACGTATCGTGTCCAGCCATTGGTTGGCCACATAGAGGTCAAAATACACGTTGTATTTTTACGCGTTAAATTTGGCTCTTCCGTTTCACCCCCTTCGGAATGTTCTACTTTTGCAGCCTAATCGCAGGTTTTTCGAAAAACGTCGAAAAAGCACAAGAATTGGTAGAAATGTTCCTATTTTGGGCGGATTATTGATAGAGAATAATGTCTTTATTACAAAAATGATGAAAAACTGTGAGTTTTTGCCTTAGTTATTTTTTTATTGGCGAAGAACTGCGAACTCGGCAAATTTGGTTGCACAACTTCCCTTTGTCATATACAATGTACACCCAGCGATACCGATGCCAGCTGACTGTGTACAAAACTGGTAGGAGGTAATTCATTTGGGGCGAAAGTATTCAAAAATCAGTTTTTGGATGTTGCAATGACAATGGTGGGCCAGGATTTTTTTCCAATCAGTGACGGCAAGACCTGTGAAGTGTGAACAAAATCAGCCGAGCCGAAAAAATCAGAGAGGAGTTAAAAGCCGTTGCTGGTGAAAAATTTCTCAGTAATGAAAAAAGAAATCAAAAATTCAAATAGTAACTTTGTGCCCACACTCAAGCTGAGTAGAATGAGCTATGTCTGAAGTGTTTTATTCCAAATTTGTAGGAGGAGATACATTTGGCGCGAAGCTATCCAAAAATCAGTTTTTTGGCTGTTGCTATGGCAACGGTGGGCCAAAAAATTTTTTTAGATTTTTCCTAATAACTAGGGTGAAGATGTGACCTACCTGCCAAGTTTGAAAGAAATCAGGCCAAGCCAAAAAAATCACAGAAGAAATCATACGTGAAAACACTGGAGAAATTACACACACACACACAAAACGACAAAAGTGATTATAAGGGCAATCCTAGCGGAGCGGATCGCCAATAACTAATAATAATAATACCTAATTATCAACTGAATGTTACATACTTTCAAGATTAAGTTATAAATCATGTCTTGTCAACAGGGTATTAATTTGAGTGGTGGTCAGAAGCAACGAGTTAGTCTCGCCAGATCAGTATACTCAAATTCAGATATATACTTGCTGGATGACCCGTTGAGTGCTGTGGATGCTCATGTCGGCAAGCACATATTTGATCATGTGATTGGACCTACAGGATTACTGAAGAAAAAGGTAACAGTCATTTTATCACATATACTCCCGGTAGTATTGTATACTATCTTGTGAAAACTTTGAGCTATGATTATTAGCCCTCATCAGCCGGAAAAGAGAGCTAGTGGACTATGATTAAAGTCACTTTTCAAATTGTTTTCATCAGTGTTGTAATGGATATACTAATATTCCATACATAGTTATATAATAGATTTCATTTTGTAACAAATTTCTGTCACATTTATAGAATTATCATATTTGAAGAAACAATATATATTATCATCTCTACTGGGCGAGATCATCTTGTAAACATTTTTAAGAGAGATTTTCACAAGATCACTAAATTCTGTAGTAGCAATTTACACTATATATGCTGAAATTTATTTATACAAAAATTTTGTTTTAAATTGTAAACATTTTTGGCAGCAAACTTTTTAAAAATCATGTATTGTGTTTTCAGACCCGTATTTTGGTTACTCATGGCCTTAGTTTTCTACCGCAAGTTGACAAGATCATTGTCTTAGTGGACGGGAGAATTACGGAAGTAGGGTCCTTTAAAGAACTACTTAATAAAGATGAAGCATTTGCAGAGTTTTTGCGTAATTACAGTTCTGACGCCGATGACAACCAAGCTGAAGAAGATGAAGCTGCAGGTAAAGTATTATTAAAATTGATTATAGTTTACTGGAGAGAAATAAAAGTATATAACACGAAGCTCAAAATGTCTCTGACTTCAAACAATGGTTTGTTTCATGACGTTTCGGGAGATGTAAAACCCCTTTTATCAAACAACAAATGCTCCTGGTGTGTACAAAGGATGTCTTTGCAATCCTTTGTACAAAGGTAAAAAGTGATATTTTCGACTTCTTGTTGAAATCCGCAAGTCCAATTGCTTTGATATTACATATATACATGTAGGTACTACATGTTGACCTCTCTCAGATCATTTTGTTGGTGATATCTTCAATTCTCTAATTTTGATGATTATTTTTGTCATTTTCCGTGAAAAGTGATATTTTTGACATCTTCAGTTCTTAATTGAAATGTGCATTGCTAACAGCGGAGCTATCTCAGCCAACAGGCTGCTTGTTTATATATATATATATCTATTATTATTATGTGTTCATTTGTTTTTTGTTTTTATATTCTGCTTATAGTATTTTGTGCGTCCGTCCGGAGTCATATCTCAGAATCCCTTGGACCGATTCCGTTCATTCTTTGCTTGTGCCTAGTACTTTATGTGGGACATATGCACATGCAGTGGTTT